GGAAGGCAAAGGTTTATGAAGCCAAAGCCCAAGGAAATGGAATTGTCTGACAATTCTCCCACATCATAAGCCATTCTCATAGAACTAAAGTATCTACAAATACTACGAAACATTTTAGCAACATTATATACTACTTTGAATAGTTTGCTGAGATGTAATAGAATTCAATTAACTAGTATTTAGTGTACATAATTATTGAAACTAGAAATAACATTTTATTCTCCCCACAAGGGGAGTAAATAGGTGGTACACTATTTTAAAATCCTAATTGAAAAATTGATTTAATTAGCCTAGATATTGACTGTAAAGAGTAAAGGCTGGCTATAAGATCCTATGCCAACAGCAATGAAAATAAGAGTATATGAAAAAGATAGTCACCTGACGATCCAAGCAAGATCCCTTGACTATGGAAAGCCAAGGAGTAAGATGAAACATGCCAAATCCCTGGCATATAAAAAGATGCGTATGCTTTTAAAACACATGCCAAAAAGGCATAATTAAATTTTACTGTATCCTCTTTTTTTAACAGCAGCAATAATAGCAATCAATTTTCCACCTTTGGAGTTTAAGATTTATTATGTGCTTAACTTCCTAAAGTACACGTAATAAGGCTAAGAAACAAAAAGGTTATCTTCATATAGCTACAAGACTTGCATAATATGAAAAGGCATCAGAGGTCAAGGATTAGAATTCAAACCAAGAGGTTTAGCACAAGAGATGACTTGATATCCACGACAGAGAAATAAAAAGACCAGACTGTACAGATGATGAAATTCAAAGACATACACAATAAGAAAAGACACAAATCATGACAGTAATATAGTGGAAGGGAGCAAGTGTTGCTAGATCATGTAGGCCAAAAAGTGTATTTTGCCTTTGGGAGTCTGTTTGATCCTCTAGGATACAGAGCCTAAAAGCATTCACTAATGGGGAAACTACTCCAATATTTTACTGAATTATGCATAGAAACTAATTGGTATCAATTAATTCTTGGTATTGCCCTCTACGAATGTGAAATCCATTGTGATTTTTGTGAGGAAAAAGGCATCAGTCCCTCTTAAATAGCAACCAGTTAAGAACTAAAATTACTAATCATGTAAGACTCTGCTTTGAATCACAGTTTTGATAAATTAGCCATTCCAATCTTGTTTGGCTTAAGCTAATTTAACAACTTATTCAATCTCTGAGACACATATACAGAGAAAAGAGGGAGCAGTAGAACAAAGTGTTGGGTAAATTGGAATTATATGAAATATTAAGAAGGAAAATTTACAAGAATAATCCATATATAAAGAATTAAATATTTACTGTTTTTCATTAAATGAGAAAGTCAAATACATTTTAATAAAGTGATTGACAATGTAATAAATAGTGTAAGGGAAGCTTCAACATTCCTGCAAAAGCACTGAATATGTTGAAAATAATTTCCAGGAAATAAAATGTATATCCATTATTACATTTACTATTGTCCTGACAGATTTACAGAAAGCATTTTCTCTGTGTCATATACCATATAAAAAGTCAAGACAACTACAGTATTAACTGTAGTGTTTATTAAAAAGCAAAACTCAATAGTTATTGCCTACTCCTTTCTACTTTGAGAATTCTAATTATATGAACATAAGTTTCTTAGTTTTGACACAGTGAACTCTTATGACTGATCTGTAAATTCTTTCTTCATTTTTATTTTGGACAGTTTTTATTGTTATATTCAGTTATGTTTGTAAATAATTCATTTTCAATTTGCAATCTACTAAGAAATTTAAAAAATATAACAAAATAAATAAAATAAAATAAAGTTAAAGCAAAAAAAAAAGAAAAACTCATTTTCCACATGCTAAAGACTAAAACTACTCATATCTATCATCATGCATTAAATGAAAATCCAAATGAATCAAAGATCTAAACATTAAAACAGAAACACTAAATCTTCTGAAAAAGAAGAATCAACCTATCTGAAATAGAACTCTCAAAGACACTGGTATAGGCAAAGACTTTAGAAACAAAACCCTGATCATATAGGAAATTTCACAAAGAATCAAAACCTGGGATCTCATCTTATTAAAAATATTTTACACAGCAAAAGAAATCACCAACAAGAGACAATCCACAGAGTGAAAAAAAAAAAAAATTGCCAACTGTTCCTCAGACAAAAGACTAATATCTAGAACATATAAAGAATTGAAAGGGCTGGCGAGATAGCTCAGTAGACTAAGCACCTGCTTAGGCAAGTGCATGGATCAAGCAGTGCCAGCCCCACCACTGGGCACACTGAGCCACTGATGGGCATGGTAGCACACGCTTGTAATCCCACCACTAGGGAGGCTGAAAACAGGAGGATCACTACAAGTCCAAGCTGCAGAGTGAGACCCTGCACGAGAGAGAGAGAGA